TATAGTATATAATATATAAGTATATTACTATAAGATGAGTAATACACTTATACTTAATACTTTAATATATATATATATAAGTATATATTAACTAAATGTAATATACAAATATAAGTAAATAACAATAGTATGGATAATAACTAAATATCAAGTAAATATGAATGTGTATAGTATATATAGTATATATAATGTGTAAAGAATTATAATATGAATGTGTATAAGTATATATTTATAAGTAGATAATTAATATATAAGCAAATATTATAATTATATAAATTATATATATATGTAGAAAGAATTTGGAGAAGATGAAGAATGAAGATGATTGAATATGAGAGATTGAGAGTAGAGAATTAGAGAGTAGGAAGAGTTGTAGAAGAAGAGGTGTAAAAAATGTATAGAAAATAGGAGTATAAATAGGTTTTTTTTTGTATACCCCACCCCCACCCCACCCCCTAACCCCCCAGACCCCCCCCCCCTCCTATGCTCCCAACGGCTAGAAGCCACTTTACAAATAAAAAAAATTAAAAAAAATGACCGTTGGAGGCCCGAACCGGGCCCGGCCGGGCCGGGCCGGTTCACTAAAATGGAGGCCCGGGCCCGGACCGCTATACCACCGGGCCGGGTGGCCCGAACCGGGCACAAACCGGTTCACCGGGCCGGTTGGCCCGGCCCGAGTCCATCCCTAGGTTCCGGGTCGGGCCTCCCGGCCCGAGTCCAGGCCTAAGTATTAGTAACTACAAATAATTACAATTGTGTTCAAAGTATATATCATAGTGACTAAGTGATGTATACTTTGAACATCTTTATAGTTATTATTAATTTGTTACCAAGTCATATGTTCATAATTTTTTATTAGTAATATTTTAGAAAAAATCTCTATTATCATATGATCATCATCATCCGTAACTTTTCATATTGTTATTGATATTTAAGTTTGAGATATTGGCATTTCATCTTGTTAGCCAAGTTATGGCATTAGTTTTTTTTTTTTAATATTACATTTGTCATATTCTAATACGGAGTATTATATTGTTATTAGAAATGCAATTTTATTATACTCCGAAACTAAAAACTGTTATATTGTTCGAGTAGTTATTCAACTGAGGCTAATAAGTAACAAGTAAAAAGCTATTGGTGAAACTCTAACCATTCTGGCATTCCTGGTAGTGCATCATATATGCATGATACCATGGAATTTTTGTGCTGCAATTATAATTACATATTATAGAAGTGAATGAGCTAGGTGTATATCAGTATATATGTAAAATAAATTTCGAGATTATCAATCAAAAGGTCTAAAAAAATTGAAATCATGTTCCAAGCACAACAATATAATTTACTCAGTCTGCCATGCACGATTGCAACTGTTCAAAAACTATCATAAGTAGTACTTCCTCTGTAACTAAAAAATCTACTCACTTTCCCTTTTCGTCCGTAACAAAAAATCTTCACATTTCTAAATCTTCCCATCATACCCCCAATAATTCTTAAAATAATACACTATTACAACTACTTTTTTGGGATTTATCCTACATTCCATCACATTATTCCACTATCTTCCCATCATACCCTCAATAATTCATATCATCTTTCACTATTCTTAATCCACCTACTTTCGAAATGAGAAGATTTTTAAGTTACGGAGGTAGTACGAAATATAAGATACCAAACCCACACATAATACCCTTAGTTGCAATTCATAGTAGGTTTAGGTCATAAATATCCGCAAATTATACTATACAACCGGTTGTACCGTGCGCACGGTACAACCGGCCTTTTTAGGGCTTCTGCGCTTCTCGCCCGGCTTCTTCGATTTTCGTCCCTAATTCTGCGTTGTTCTCCCATCTTCGCCCCTGCTTCTGCGCTGCTTGCGAAGGACTTAACGCACCAAGCAGACCACTCTTCTGGCAGCTCTCTTCTCCTCAAGCTCTCCTCTCGCAACTCTCTTCTCCTCTTGGAGAGTTGCGCAAGAGACGGCAGCTCTAGGAGATTTCTTTGTTGGTCGGGAAGAAGTATGCACGGAAGACAAATTGGAAGATGATTTAGGAGATTTGAGTTCATATTTCTTGATGAAGAATCTGGAATGAGTTTATATTAAACTTAAATGAGTATAAGCTTAAAAAGAATGAACATACACAAATGAATATCGAGCATATTAAAAATGAGTTTTATGTTCAACTCAAATGAGTATAAAACCGAAAATGAATGAGCATACACAAATGATCTTTTGAATTTTTTATACTCATTTTGTGAGTTATGTATGCTCATTTGGTACCTCTTTATGCTCATTTTGTGAATTTTTTGATACTCATTTTGTAAGTTACATATGCTCATTTGGTGTTATTTTATGCTCATTTAAAAAGAAAAGACTCAATGCTCATCACAATCGCATAATGAAAATCATTGGTACTTATAATTTCAAGTTGATGCTCAATAAAAATGTCTTGATATTCAATTAAAAGTACTTATGATTTTCATATCAATTCTCATTTTATAAGCTATGTATGCTCAACGGGTATTCATGTTATGCTCATTTGTAAAATGGCATAACAATGCATATTTCAAAAGTATCATATTGCATTAAATTCGCATACTGAAGTTCATAAGAGTTGATTATATATATAATTTAATAAGTTTTTATAAAGAAAAGAAATAAGGAAAAGAAAGTAAATTAGAAGAGATGAAGCAGAGATCATGATGCTCATTGTTATGCTTCTAATGCTCAACAAAATATGTCACATGCTCACTAGACGTGTTTTAATGCTCATTTAGTACAAGACGCGAATTTCATGTAATTTACAAAAATGCCACCGGCTGTACGGTGAGAACCGTACAGCCGACTGTACTATATACGCTTCCATAAATATTAAATATCACTCTCTCCGTCCCAATTTGATGGTCTCATTTTTTTTTCGGCACAAATTTTAATAAAATGGTTGAAAATGTAAAATTTGTGCTTGAGATTTGAATAGAAAAATGTGAAATGATGTGAACCACATCTTTCTTTCCAAAAAGGGAAACAAGACCATCATTTTGGAACGGAGCGAGTACCAATTAAAAGTGTTTAGACAAGTATAGAACCACTTTCATTAATACTCCGTGTGGATTAATTGGCGTATTTGTAAGTTTGGGATGGAATTATGAAATATGCCCCTCCCTAGTAAATCAATGCTCCGTGCGCTGTAAACGGATTCATATATGTCTTGTTTCACTCTTGACCTCTTGTTAGTCGTTTCCCACTTCCCGGTGCAAAAGTTATAGGCACGCCACAAAAATTTGACCTTTATATCCTTTCATCCAATTAAATTTATTTGGCAACAATTTATAATTAATTGATCCGATCAATTACAAGTAGCAATTACCCGCCGCCAGTTACAATTACCTGTCTGACTAATTACAGTTACCCGTCTGACCAATTATAACTATGTGTCGCAGTTACAGTTACATGACCCGCCAGTTACATTTACCCGATTCACCAGTTATACTTACGTGACCCACCAATTACAATTACGTGATCCACCAGTTACCATTACTCGCTTACCCGACTCACATGTTACAATTACCTGATTCGCCAGTTACAGTTACATGACCCGCCAGTTACAATTACCCGATTCGTCAGTTACAGTTACATGACCCGCCAATTACAGTTACCCAATTCGCGAGTTACAGTTACATGATCCACCAGTTACAATTACGCGATTCACCAGTTACAATTACTCACTTACCCGACTCACGTGTTACAATTACCCGATTCGCCAACTATCCGACCTGACGATTAATGTTACCTAACCTACCCAATTACAATTACCCAACTAATTAATTATCTGACTCAATCAATTATTGTGATTCGAATCGATTAATTACAGTTACACGATCCGATAGTGACTGCGTCGCTGTCGGCCACTTTTGTCGATGACCCGACCCCGCCCAACCCCTCTCCGGCAGCCAGAATATCCAGTCAGTCTCCAGCCCCACCATAATCTCCTCTCTAGCCTTCCTCAACCCCCTGCCACCGCCAGCCCCTGGACACCGCTGCAGTCCATCATCGCCCCTGCCCACCCCCATTCAAAGCTCAAATCATAGATCTAAAGGAGCCTCCAGTTGTGAAGAAGACGATGACGACTTTTCCGAGATCTAAAGGCGAAGAAGAAGATACTGAAGACTTTTCCGAGATCTAAAAGCGAAGAAGACAGTGAAGATGAAATATTCACCGCCACCACGTCACCGTAGAGCTCCGTCGCCATCTTCCAGAGCTTTGTCACCATCTTCCAGAGCTCCGTCGCCATCTTCCAGGGCTTTATCGTCATCCTCGTCGTTGCTGAATGTGGACGTCATCTTCAACGAGCCTTTCGAAGAAGGAAGATCGATGTGGCGCGGCTCGCCAGAACAGTTAGATGCTTCGACAAAGATGGGTAGCAGGCAATTGGGATTAGGTTTCAAGGATATTTGAGACATTTCATTTAATTTAGTCCCTTCTTTGTCCTGAACGAAAATCAGTCCCATTTTTGTCTAATCAAAACCTGAAAGTCTTACTTTTGCCATTTTTTCTATATATATTAAAATGGAACTCCAAATCTGATAAGCAGTCCTAAACATATTCAGTTCATTAGTTAACACTTAACATATCCATATTAGTATGTTCTGTATGTAGAAACCCGTGATGTGTTAACACAGAGCGCCAATACCACCATAAGAGATGGAAAGTTAAAAAAATTAGCAAACTACACATACAAATCTCACAAATCTGGAAGACAAAAAAAAGCGATGGGAGAATCTTACGTATTGTATTTCTAGACAAGTAAAATTATGGATTTGAGAATCACAGTATTTTCTTATTGCAATTTTTTATTTATTGTTTTTTCTTTAGTTGATTTCTTTATTGTATTTCCCAGACTCTTTAATTAAAGCTTATTTAAGGGCCAGTTAAGTTAAGGATAAGCATGCAAGTTTTGAGCAAGAAAAGTCTGGGAATTTGTGAAATTCTCAATAAAAAGAATCCAACTTGTTATGTAAAGAATTTGCATAATAATATTTCTCCAGTTTTGTCCCCAAACAGTAAACATGCCCAACCCTTCTAAAGCTCAATCTACTTATCTACCCTCCACTCACATAGTCACATGAATACAAAAAACAACAAGCTGGACATCTTGTACACAAGCTGCCTGCCTATATACAAACTGGTTACAATATTTACATGGCCCGAGCCTATATATACTAATAATGCATTCGGACTGATGAAAGGTAGCATGTAAATCATACTACTAAGCATTTGTGATCACAATGATGCAAGCTAACTTTAGTGAAGTTAACTTTATTGACGTGGTCAGAAACCAGCAGTAACCAGGATTGAGAAGCACTCAAGCATTAAGACAACCGTCAGTGGGATCAACTGAGTTCCACATATGTTTCCACCAGAGAATAATCCATGACTTCTGAAGCTCTCACTGCTTCGGCATTTCAGGTGTGGTCAACGAGCAAAAGCATTCTCTGATTTCTAATGCTCTGCCAGAGAGAGATTAGGTTTAGAAATGTATTACCAACAAAAGCACTACAACTAATGAAGTAACGTTATACTTCTTCCGTCCCTCTTGATGTGTCCATTCCAGATTACTAATGTTTCACTGAAGTTAATTTAAAACTTCCCTGGTAATATGTAAATTAGTAGTACTAGTAATAATCACAATTTACATATTTATAAACTAAACTAAAAGTACTAGAGAACTGCAAAAACCGAATTCACATATATTAATATTTTGATACACAAAACCTGAAAATAACAAAGAAATTAGGTTGACCACATGAATACAAAAAACGACTAAGAAATTGAGACAAGTAAATATTAGCACCTGCAAACAATATTGATGCATTCTCGGTCTAAAATGCCAACAGGGTGATCACCATGCCCAAAAACGACGGGTAGCTGATTTAAACTGTGTTTGTCCATAAGAGTTTGTGCAGACAAAAGACTTGTATTTGGTGTCACCGTCCACAATACGCGGCAGTCAATGTCAGTAGAAGAACAAAGTTGAGAGACTACAAGATCCTAAAAAGAAAGCTGGTTGTTATCATTGAGAGAAAGAGCTCATTTTCTTTTTATTTTAGATTCTTAAGCAAAAACATTAATGATATCTAAGAAGTTACCTCCTTTCCCTGAATTTTTGATATTTTCTCACTGCCATATAGCTGGATATCATCAAGATCCAGCTGACCAATAAGGGAATTATTTTCATCAACTATTAGAGCACATGATTGCTTCTTATCTAACATGAGAGACAGAACCTCCGTAAGCAAAGAGCTCATCAAAACAGTGATGTGATCAGTTCTCATTGCTTGTGAAACAATGATCTTCTTTACCCAATCACCTGTGTCATCATCAAAATCATTTAAGCAGAGAGAACTCTCAAGTTTACAGAGGTCGCTCACCTGCAACTGCTCTAGAGAATCAGGGCCAGAAAAGGCAGGAATATTCGCCTGGACTGTAGATGTCTCCAGTGGTTGGCCTCTATATGGTTTTCCATCATCTTCCATTTTCTTGGCATCTTCCATGGTCTTTCTCATAATCTGGCTGGATGTAATCCAAGATGACATCCCTACAGCCCCTAAAAGGGGAAGAACTATCCGATAATCCTGTGTCAGTTCAAAGAGTAGCAGAACTGCAGTCAGAGGCACCTGGCATACACCGGCAAGAGTGGCAGCCATGCCAACCTGTATGAATATGCAACCCCAAGCATGGGAACAAGAGGAAAAAATTATATTGGTAGAAGTATTAAGAATCACATTTTAAAGAGTGTTCTAGGGTTACACTTATGCAACCTAACCATGGTTCATGAAGCTTGACCCAAGGCAAGCTTAAGATGCTTAAGCATTAAAACAGTACTCTAGTGCACGACAGATGACTGAGTAGTAAATGTTACATATGCTCATGATTAAATAAAATATAGCTATATAAAAATCTAATTTTTATAGAGACAAATTCAGAATTAGTAGCACAAATTTGTAGCACAAACTCAAACACATATCTAAAAATCGGAATAGCCTTGGAAAGATAGCAGATGTGTTTTCTAATTTTCTATCAAAAGGGTTAAGTGGTTGCTTGGTAGTCACTTTTTCGGCTCATTAGTCAAGGCATTTTTTACCCCTTCTGGTTCGAAATCGGAAAGAAAATTTTGTTTCAAAGTATCAGTTGATTTCTGGTTTTCTAGAGTTAACTATTTCCATCCACTAGTCCTCTTTATTTTGTCATAGATCTCATTTATTGTAACTGAAACAGTAATATGTTATTTTATAGACATAATTTTATCTATTAAATGAGTTTCCTAATCCAAGTCAAACAACCCTAAACGACAGTTATTTTGAACCAAAAGTATAAAGACTAGTTTATTTGATCGCATGAGTTGCATTGGTTAAAATACAAAATAAGGTTTAAGGTACTTTTTGAGAAGTGGGTGAAGGTAATTTTACCTTTTCAACACACACAAACACAAAATTTCAGCAATTTTACCAACTTATATCAGCCATAAATGCGACAATCAGACAAAAGTTGAGAGTAGCACCTATTTGAAGATAAGATGTGGGAATCTCGATTACACTGGTTTGGTCATGTACGTAGAAGACCGATTGATGCACATGTTAGACGAGTTGAGAGGTGTGGAGAAGAGGCGAGAAGGAGAGGGAGAGGAAAACCCAAACAAATGTGGACTAGAGGAGTTATGAGTGATATGCTTCTTCTCGGCTTGGATGAGAGTATGCTTTGGATAGAGCAAAGTAGAGGGTGGGTATTCGTGTGGCGGATTCATCTCTTATCATCTTTTTTTATCCTTTTATCTTCTTTATATTTCTTATGTTTCCTACTTCGTATCTTTTTATCTTTTTTATTTTATATACTACGTATATTCTTTTTATCTTATCATTTTTATCTCAATCTTATATTTATCTTTATCTTTATCTTATCCTTTTTTTATCTTTTTTATAATTTTATCACACATTATCTTTTTATCCTTCTCATCTCTCTTTTCTATTTGGCTCCGATAGCATGCATTGATTCATGTTAGCCGACACCAAAAAAATTTGAACCTAAGGCTTGGATGTTGTTGTTGATCCATATCAACCCGTAACCCACAATTTCAATAACTTTTAGCAACTTCAACTAAATTCTCACTTACAAAAGAGGCAAATCACAAAGTTGAAAACATACAGCTATTTTTTGAAATAGTAATATGATTAAGTTATACCAAGCCATATGCTTGTGGTGAAGCAACATCCAAGAAGGAGATATGTGATATTGAATTAGCTTGAGTGATGATGAAGCCAACAGTTTTACCATATGCCATGCCTGTAGCAGCACCAATAAATAGAGAAGGTGCATAGTAGCCTCCAACCAATCCAGTGGCCCGACATATTGAAGTTGCTACTATTTTGACAACTACCAGCTGTAACAACAAATCGATGGAAAGACCTTTAACCAATGGACGAGATTCTAACAAAATGTCAACATTCTGAAAACCCCAGTAAAGAATTTCTGGATATGCCAATGCTATAAGACCAACAGAGAGCCCACCCAATACAGGGAAAACTAATTTTAGTGTGCCAATGGTCTGTTGGATGTTGCTGACTGCGAGCAGCATAATAGATGTGCACCTAGATAATGCCACCGAAACCAACCCACAAAGAATACCAAGCAAAAGATAAAGTGGTAACTCTGATTCAGAGGGAAAGATTAATATTAATAAGCAAAATTGTTCTAAAAAACGAAAGAAAACATAGAGATAAATACCAATTACCTGTTAGAGAACGAAAATCATAACCTGGGATTGAAAAGGCAGGTTCAGAGCCCAAGCCTATTTCTGACACTACAGAAGCTAATACAGCACTAAGAATGACCATTGAGGTTGTATTCGTCAATGATAATGATGAATCTGCAGGTGATGGCCACAATACTGATTCTATAGCAAAAAAACAACCCGCCACAGCAGCATTGAAACCTTGAAAGCCAAAAGGTGAATAATGATTTAGAAGTGAATATAAATATATGACAGACACATATTGGCTGTGAGCTAGTGCCTTTAAAAACAGAATCAGTGCTGCCAGTCAGTATGTTTCAATTGACCTAAAGTTTTTTTCCTATAATTCTGTTTTGTTTCAATAGTTGTTATTGGGGACTTTTCCGGAAACAGTCTCTCTGTGCTGTAGTACAGGGGTAAGACTGCGTACATCCGACCCCCCCCTATCCCACCGTAGGTGGGAGCCTTTGCGGCATTGGGGTAATGATGATGATGATGAGTTGTTTTTGGGGACTTTTAAGGTTCAATCAATCATCAATCATCATTTACCCCAGTGCCGCAAAGGCTCCCACCTATGGCGGGGTAAGGGGGGTTCGGATGTACGCAGTCTTACCCCTATACTAAAGTACAGAGAGATTGTTTCCGTATGACCCATAATGAAAATCGCGTCCAAAAATTGCATGGACTGACTGCTGCTTCATAACAAAGAAGCGCAGACAGTTTGGTGAGCCATTAAGGTTGTTTTTAAGAAAAATCACACTCAATTTGAAACAACAGATTTATTTTAATTGCTTTACGTTTTCCCCGTTCATATATCTGAGCAAGCATCCTTAAAGAAATCAGAAAAACATTGGAGTCACTAAGGAGTATACAAGACTGATCTGGAAGCAAATGAAAAAAGATTTCAAGGGAAATGGCACTGGGAGCAATGTAAACGACATTAAGTTACATGATATCCTATAGACACCAGTTTTCGACAAAATGTATATAATGCTCTACGAAAGTAACATCAATAATAAGTGACTACTGCTGTGCGTCTGTTCCTCTCATGTGTCCTATTCTCGAAAATCCAGTATCTTCAAGCGCAACGCGATACTGATGATGATACATGTGCTCCGTGCCATCAACCTATCATCTGTATTCACCTAATTTATGAGATATAGATTGACTCTGCCCACCTGCCATTATGATGATGATGCACTCTCCGGCCTTAATCATCTAGAGGTTAAATGAAAGCGACAGTAGGCCAAAAAATTGACAGGGTTTCAAAAGGTGTGTTGATAATTGAGAATCGTATACCAACAAGTTTGCTAAAGAACTAAACGAAATGATAAAAAGTACACTAGATGGTGCGATGGGAATACCAACCAGAAGATATTCCAGCAGCTGATCCAGCAGCTTTGAATGACAGCTTTCTTTGAGCACCCTTATCAATGAAAGCACCATATCCCTTTGCAATGAAATTACCAATTTCAACACTTGGACCTTCAGGTCCTAATGAATTGCCCGTTCCCAGTGTGGCACAAGCAGCCATTGTCTTTAAAAGTGATTGTGTCACATACTGAATGGGTGATCCTGAATCGCCTTCACTGGATACCGCTAATCTGGTGAGCAGAAAATTCAGTAAGCTGACTGCCATACCCCCACAAACTGGAACTAAGATTACACGTCTCCAAATTAACTCTCTGGGCTCCTCTCGTAACCATGAGGCACCCCAATATGGAATGTCACCCCAACAGAAGTCACGTATTTCATGCACCTAAAGTGTAAGATGTTCATAACAATCAACAGGTCAATAATCTCCATGAGGCCAGAGGTGAATACTATCAGAACCATAACTGATAAGTAACATAATTGTTTAAATAAAGAAACACAACTTACGCAGATGTATGCCAATTAATTCCGAATATAGAAATATAAATTTTCAACTGGGAAAGAACCTAGTTTCCGAAATGGGTGGTGAGATTGTGAGGAAGTAATGAGCATGTTCCATATTATACCAATGGATCAACATCTTAATCTTGAATTAATTGCGCGTCTGGTTCTATAATGTACAGTAATAATCTCATTCTTCCTAACAAACAAGACAGGTCATTATATATAAACCATTATGGTAAATGCACTTGCACCACTCTTCCAGGTTGCCTTATTGACAATTTGATTTCGTTCGGATTAGTTCCATCATTCTTCAATTCAAAGTCTGTCATAAGGGATGATTGGCTCTGATGTATTAGCCATCACTTAGCTAAATATGAAACGAGGAGTTATCAAACTCAAATAACTGAAAATAACGAGTAAAGGCAGGCTACAACATGATTCACATAAATATGTCAATAAAATTTAAAATTAATAGAAAATAAAGGAAAGAACATTGACGCACTGCAGTGTTGAAGAGTACAACGCAGATGCCGGTTAGAAGACCAATGGAGCAGGCGGAAATTATAGCGGAATCGCCTTGTGGAATCGCGCTCTCTAGCATCGCAGCAACACCTTTGGGCTTATTAAAGTTCTCATCTTCAGTCTCGTGAACTGCATGAGGTTTTCCGAGGTTATCATCGCCAGTGCCACGAAATCCAGGTCCGCCAGAAGCTGGAGTCCGCGGCCGGAGCTCTGGATATGAAATCGTGTGACATAAAAGACGCCTCTTTCCGCACTTGAAGAGACTTATGGAGTGAGAATCCAGGAGCGAGCATCTAAGTGAAGAGCAGAAATGGCGAGGGCTGGGATTCAGACGAGAGCTGGGATAAGGCTGGGCACTCCCGCCACCGCATGTCAGGAGTGCTTCCATAATCCAGCAAACAAATTCGCCACCTTCTTAGACCACAATAAGGCGAGGGCAAGTGGGCAACAGCCAAAATAAAATCACACCACTTTCTTAGAGCATCTCCAATGCTACAATGTGCACGGTGCACATGTGACATGAGAGATATAAACACAAAATATTTATTTTATGACATTTCTCTCTCCTTCTTTCCACGGTCTTATGTGTTTTTGGTAAGTTTTTGTCTGCAATGTCAACCATAATGTCTACATCTAGACATTGTGCTTGACATTTTGAAGAAAAACTTACCAAAATGATGTAAGATCCTTCAAATAAGGAGAGAGATATTCTATTTATTGTTTTTTAATTGGTTATATCTCATACCACGTATGCACCGTTAACGTTTTAGCATTGAAGATGCTCTTAGACCACAATCACACATTCACACCACCTTCTTAGTGCAAAAAGGATAATTCGACGTTTGGCAGCACTGTTTTTCGGCTTATCAGGCTTATCAGCCAACTTTTTCACCAAACACGTAACTTTTACTTACGCGCGTTGAGTTTTGTAATAAGAAGAAAAAGTAAGATTGAAGTTACTTTTCTGGCTGTTTTGGCTGAAGTTACTGTAGATGAGCGTTTTAGCTATTTTTACATATAATTTTTTCTTTATTTTATTAATAAAATATATTTTAAAAATAATTGTTTCATAAATCAGCAGAATCAGCCAATGCAGCCACTCCAGCCAGAACTTTAGAAATTTCAGCAGAATCAGCCAAAACAATCTATTTTCGTGCTACCAAATGGGCTCTATATTTGATCTATTCACCCCAATATTCCATCCAACCTTGTTATTTGAAGACGGGTAATATTCCATCCAACCTTGTTATTTGAAGAAGGGTAATGAGTCTGTGGACGAATAAACAACCCACTTTTCACCACAGAAGAGAGAAAAGAAAAAGAAACATGTGGGAAGATACTCGTATTTTTCTGAAAGTGATATAACTTTTTATTTGTATTCCAATTTTATGGAAATTATTTCGAAATTTATATTTTTTTTAAGATCTTTCATATGACATCCATATAGCATATATAAAAGTAATGATTTAATTAAAAAAAATATTAGATGAATATATTGACGGTGTTAGATTGCAGAGAAAAATTGATTTGACAGAGTGAGTACGTAATTTTTATATAAAATGATTGGAAATTTACGTTATTGAATGAGGATGGTTTCAGATAGTCTTATGAAGTATTTATTAGTTAATAGTTACTACTTTTTTTAAATATAAATGAGCTACTTTTTATATTAATATGTGTATCAAGAAATCATAAAAGACGACAGTTATGTTAGAGCAGATCATAAGATCTATAAATAGACATAGAATCATCCACCTCATTCGTCAGACACAAAACGGACAAATTTAAATCTAAAACAATCGGAACTGAAATATTACCCATCAAAACTACTCTGGAAATTCAAATATTCAAGCCAAACATACTTGAAGTAACAAAAACAAGTACTACTAAAGGAAAACTAAAATTAAAATAAACTCTTTCTGCAAAAAAAATCATGGCATGAAAGTCTTCTGCAGGAGGACGATCTCTGCCATTATTTGCGCAACCTAAAAGAATACAATCATAAACCTCTAACCAGACAAAACAACCCGAAGCATCAGTGCCTAGGAAACAACCATCAAAGCACAAAACAAAACAAAACCAGAAAGTAGAACAGTCTGATTGGGTCATATCTCTACCAAGAATCTTCGCTACCTAGAACAAGAAATGGAATCTGCTACCTGTTTCGATGTGTCGCCTGTGCTCTTTCAGCTTCACATGGATTTAGAGGTTGAACGGCGGCTGTACTCGTGAAGGTAGGCAGACCGCATTGGCGCAATAGGCTGGAGTGCGAGAGGCCAGACTCCACACTTCGCCTCTCGCCTAGGGTTTACTCTAGTTACTACTTCTATCAATCCATTTTCAGCCTTTTTTAAAATAAGTTGTAAAAGCAAACTCAAACTTCAATTAGTTGCCTAAACTTGAAGTAATTTTAAACCCAGAGCTATTCACCCATAGTATTCATTTTGTCTATTTCTTTGGATACAACGGGAATAGATTCATTTTGTCTATGTATACCCCTTGGGATCCCTATAAAAGAAGAGGATACAATTCTAATACTACACACCATCTATCTAACTTTCTAGCTCACATTTGTCTACAATATATGTTGTGGATACCTAATATCAATTCAATTGTGTATTTAATGCTATAGTCGGAACTCATAAACAAACGGAGAAATGAATATTGAACCTAGATTCTCATGTGTTTAGTATACTTACAAAATTTGAAATGAGTATAAGTTGCATATGATAGAAGCATTCATAGAAGGAGATATGTTCTTCAATGTGCGACAGAAGTAGTAAATGAAGGTGGTGATTAATTCTCTATTTAGAGGCGAACCATTTCACAAGTATAACACGAGCACACCAATATTCATATGTCACATGCACCTTATAGACTATAACTAAAAACAATTGGAACATTGCAAAAGTAAATGGAAATTACACATAAGGAAAACTAAGCTTTTTCATAGTAATTAAGACAAGTTCATATATGTCAAGCACTTTGTGTTTCAATGACATCATTGTGACACTTCCAAGAAAAAAATCACATGTTAGAATATAACTCATCCCAGTCAAAGATGTTGGATTTAACAGAACAAATACTATAATATGTGAGAAAGTACAGCAAAGCGATAAATGAATGGTAATAATAGATGAACAAACTGGTGTGATGCTCTTCACAATAAAATGTTGTTAAACCCTTATCCTCGCATGCATGCATGCAAATGAATGGTAATAAAAGTAAAATCAAAATGAAAGTCTTAGTTAAGAAAATAAACGTATTTTGTGCATACTTTGGACAACTTATAACCTAAATTTGTGTGCATGTAACACATATACCATTTACCTGAAGAGTTTACATCACGCTACTCTAGCTAACACTTATCATTAGATAGAAGCACTTAATATGTATTAATGTTGCCAAGTGACTTGTGGTCCGATGACATCATTGTGACACTCTCAAGGAGGAAGTCACAGGATCGAATCATATCTCAGTTCAAGGCTGTTGGTCTTTACATAGAATACATATTATAGTAGGTTAGAAAGATTTGCCAAAAAATAATGTATCAATGTTAATACCACGATGTGAGATTTTTTTATCAAGGTTGATCCAACACACAACCTTAAGTGTTAACTGGAAAAAATCTAAAGCTAAAAAGAAATGCTAAAATAATGTAGAAGGCTTAAGAATAACCGTAACGAGTTTTTTGATTGCCAAGAGAGACGATTCCCTCAAATGCAACCGTTGGTTACTTGTACGTCAAAGTCTAACAATCACAAAAGATTAATTACGACATTAAATACGCGGTTAATGAAAGCGTACTATTTAATTACATTGTCATTCCCATTTAATGAGTATTAGCTGCCCCTGAGATGACCGTTACGTATTATCAACAGTGCCCTAATCGTTTGGTTCTTCCTGGTGCAGTTGATCAGACACCAATTGTTCGGCTACCCTATTGACTGCTTGCTTATCGAGTTAATATATTTGTTTTAAAGCTCGCTAGGAGCTAGTCAGGCGGTTGAGGGGTGTCTAGGCGGCCAATCAAGTCATTTTTTTGGCGAAGTAGGCCTATTTTTTTTGCTAACTGGACCAATTAGTCATATGCAGTAAAGCCGACTAGGCCGATTAATCGTTCTGACTAGGTCAGTTTTTAGAACACTGGTTAATATTATCCATCACATACCATAAGTTGATTGAAGTGCATGTGGATCAACTTCTACTCAACAAGGCGATTTCCTTGTCTACTACTACTTCTATGATGTCGGCATGGTCATGTCCTTTAATTTCGAAGGTGGCCACCCACGTTCCATGTAGTAGGAAAGTCACAACCCATATCCACTCTTGAGAGTGAGATTACTTCATGGAGAACACACAATGTAGCCTCTTTATAGATCATGCACTTGAAGAAAAATATCACACATTCTATATATAATATATCAGAAACATTCATTAACTACCACTTTCCTTATAATTACATTAAAATATGTACTTCTAGCTCATCCAAGCAATTCTAGTGTGGTGATCAAGAAACAAAGATCGTCCATATGTGCTCCTACGTTCATTAATATTTCCAACTCAATCGATCAGTACCACATGAACCCACCAAACTAGCTAGTAAAATTGTGTCTTTAATACTCCCTCTGTCCCTTAAAATTCTTCTTGGTTTGACTTGGCTCAGAGTTTAAAAAAGTGAGAATGAAGTGGAAATGCTTGGTTATGGTTGAGTAAGAAGTAGGTAAATGAATGTCAGCCACACAAAAATTTCCAAAAACAGAAATGATAAGAACTTGTTGGGATGTCCCAAAAAGATAAGTGAGAAGAATTTTCAGGGACAGAGGGAGTGTTGTTCTTCAATTCCGATTGCACCATTGATTTACTTGATAATCCACATAAATAATCAACAAAGTTGGATTTATTAGGATACAAATGATAACATGTACAGTCATCAAAGATGTAAAAAAGCTGGTCTAGGTGTTGTAGCAACTTGCGAGTTATCCATGACAAAGCCCTTTGTTAGAACTTCTGCATGCTTGGTTTAAGACTATTGTTATATTATCTATTTGTTGTCATTGGAAGTAACAAATCCCCTAATCATGCTCAACTTGGAATAACGCCCATGAGTTTAGTCATTTTGTTTATTGCATGTCGATAAAAATGGTACTCATGATGCTTAAGTTGTACATTTTTTTAGGTAGATTTCATTTTGATATATACAACCCCAAGAGATGTCTAATTAGCCTTTCAATACATGCATTGATTATTTAAGTCCATAGAGAATTTTCTTGAGTTTGTAGTCTTGTAGATATAATATGAATTTATATGATATTGTAGTTCTTTTAAGTGAGCAATATAGAGTTCCTCATTTCAATCACTCGCAGGCAAAAATTTTGTTTACATCAATTTGATACTTTTTAAGTTAATAACATGTGATATAGTCGAAGAAGTCTCAAGATAAATGGGGTCACCCGTACCAAGGTTTGGTGAATGTCAACCCCTTTCAAGGTGTTGCATCTTGCACCTTGACGAACTTTATTCCTTGTTATATTTTTCATCTTCTAATCAACTACATGCATTTGGATTGTTTCAAAGAACTTAAAAAAATTGTCCTAAATGAAATTTTAAATTCCAAAATACGAGAACTTAGTTTTTATTCCATACATAAGAGTAATTACTGGATGTTTGGAAAACAGTGACAATATAGCAGTATATTAACATATTTAAAGAACGATGGTGTTAAAATATGACAGTAAATTTTCAAAATGACAATAATGTAGTACTCCTACTTAAGAAAGTATATACTCACATTTTAGAAATTTTCATTAATTCTATTCATATTTGAAGAATTTTCTCAATAACTTTTCTCATAAAACATTCAAAATTCATATTACTTTTCTACCCGTCTAATACATCACAACTATTCCTCAAAAGCATTTTGAGGGACAAACTTCACATTTTTAAGAACAATTGTATGATAGATTTATACTTTATCTATTTTTGTGATTATTTTTTAACCATGCAATTTTTCGTAGTATTTTTAAACCAACAGTGAGTAATCAATACTCCCTCCATATTTTGATGCTTGATACATTTTTCTTTTTTTATGTTTGATGTATAAAAAGTTTGCCATACATTTCCTTTTTAGTAAGTGTTTCCTTGAATATACTCAATTACTATTTTTTTTTACATTCTACCTTCTCTTTCATACTTTTATATTCTGTCATACTTTTTCTACACTATTCATTAATCATGCTACTCCCCCCTTAAATAATGTGTCAAAACTAATGTAGCAATCTTTAAAATACAGATGAAGTAATATTTTTTCTATAAAATTTTATTTTTCATAATACTATACGTAGTATAATATTTTTTTATCAACCCCGTAGAGTCAAATCATAAAACTTTGAGGGCTGACTAATGAGGGAGTATTATGTGGTGCTTGGATCTGATACTTAAAAGTGTTTCTGTTCCTTCAAAGAGCAAAACGTATACTACCTTCGTCCCTCAATTAAAGTCTCAGTTTGACTTTCAAATCAAATTTGTCATACTTTTGTTGTTGATTAATCATAAATAACAATATTTGATCATACAAAATAAATTTAACGTGTTTCATTGTAACATGTATTATTCAAATATCAATTTATTATAAATTATACATGTATATGTATTTATAAATAAGCATGATTAAACGTCTGCTAAGAGATTACACAGTCAAACTGAGAATTTAATTATGAACATATATATGATTGTTTGGGCAGAAAAGTACTTCTAAGTGAAAATTTGATTGATCACATTCCTACTCTTTTGATGGAAAATCAAATCCAAAGTCCAATTGGCCATTCAGTTTTTTTGAGATGATGAATCTCATGAGTATTATTATTATTTTTATTTTTATTATTATTTTAAACTTCACCGTTCGCTCTGAGTTATCCTTTCCGTGGCCGTCTTCCTTTCCTTCTCAGTTCTCTCTCTACAGTAGACGCCATTCTCAAATACAACAACAAGTATCTCTCTTTTTCTCTCCAATTTGAAAACCCTAAACTATTGAATTCCGTTAATAACAGTCCTCTGTATTTGTTATGTGTACGGCTTCTCTTAAGAATTGCTCTTAGTTTGTTATATACTCCGTATTTGTTATTCTTGTTTTTAGTTATCTAAACAACTTCTTGGATAGCCCTTTCGTGGATTGGCGTATAGACAGATACCGATTGGATAATCAGATAAATAATACAGACATAATCTTTTGAGGCATCTCTCGGGGGTTGTTTGAAGTATAATCCAAGTCTTCTACCCGTATTAGCTGAACTTGGAGTAGCAAGTCTGGTTTGATTTTAATGGGATTTTAGCTGCTTGAAGTAGATGATGGAGACTCATCAAATAAACAATGGACTTTGTTTTTGAATTTAATTTATCTAGACTTTTATATCTAAGGATGATGAGGCCGGATCATATGTAAGGAAGTTTTTGTGTCATGCTAAGAGTAAAAAAGTGGTTTTGAGGATCTCAAATTTGTTCTGGATTGGTGTTGTGTTTGCTTCATATACTGTTCTGGGATGAAGAATGCTGGTCAGAAACTGCTTCCGGATGGTGGAAAGGGAGGGGTTAGGCCTGGTCGAAGCAATAAACATGGCTTTGTTCCCACATCTTTCCGTGCTCTCTCTAGGATTGTGTCATCCGGTGCCTCAACTGTTGCCTCAACAGTAAAGTCAGCAGCTTCAGCTGCCTCCGCTGTCATGGATAAGGATAATGAGTCGAACCATGATCAGGTTAGGCTTCTCGTTTTTCATCTTTCTTTCACATATTTATCTTCTTTCACTTGTACTTATTAGATGATATTATATTTTTTCATTTATTATAGGCTTTTTAATTAGAAAGGCTGGAACTTAATGGTCTACTTGAATGATTCTTACAGTATGTGATAAATCTTGAATGAACATGTATCTCCTATAACGTTTCTTTAGAGGATTTGAGCTTTTTATTTGTTTTTCACAATATTCCTATCATAACTCTATTACTTTGGAAACAAATTTATATCCACTTATCGTCAAAATTTAAAAGTTTAATTGTATTTTTCTTTTTTCAATATTTAGCCACATGCAACTTGTCAGTTTTACCAAAAGGCAAAAACTTTGTCTTTATTATTAGCTTTTAACTTCCAATTTTTTCCTATTAACTTTTCAACATCTAGTTACTTGTTATCTATCTTTCAGCTAGTTTTCAGCTAATTTTGTCAAACATAGATGTTGTAACTTGTCAATTGGTAATCTAATACGTAGTAGTTTAGAGTTTTGAGACAGTTGAATAATCTTAATATAGACAGTATTCTTCCTTCAACTTTCCCTACTGTTTATTGTAGGGTTTTTGGAGTTAGACACCACTTTCCTTTTCAGATGCTGGTTACCTGTATGGAGAGATGTTAATAGTTGTCTCTTTGTTGGTTAATGGAAAGTGAGAGAATATATCAAATCAAATGAAGGTGCTCACTTTGGTTTAATAAGCGCGGTGAGAAGGAGTCTACTAGAGGGATCTATAGGTTAAATCGAGTTTAGGACAACCAAAAGAATATAGGAGCATAATTCGGAGACTATATCAATTGGTTACCAAAAACCAAGAATATCCACACCCCATCTTCTTGAGCAAAGCTTAAAGATGGTTCAAAACCGTAAGAAAGTTACGCTACTGGATACATTTCTTCCTTTTATACATGCTCTCCTTGGTCTTCCTCAGTCTGAGAGGATGGAATAAAAAATGAAATTAAAAGGAGAATTTGAATAAGAAGATGGAAAAACCGTTATGTTTAAAATTTAAATATGATGTTAGCCTTGGGTTCTTTCCCCCTAGTGTCTCTCATGTACTGTATTTAAGTGGTAGCTTCTGCCACTTATTAATATAAATTATGGAATAGTGGGCAGACTATTAGTAGCTTCCTCTTTAGTAATGCCATTGCCACTTGTCCCCCCCAAGTCTACACAATTAATATGATATCTTTGGTAGGAGGTGACTTGATTTATACCTATACAGCCTCAATTAATTAGTTATTTATGCATTTAGTCTTTTTTCTTACTTATTTTCAATTGTATAAAAACATCAATATTCAATCAATGGCTGATCCATTATTGTGGCAGCCCTGTGTGTGTTTGTGTATACTGTAATAGGTCAGTAATATATTAATATAATCATTAATGCATTATAAATCGATCACTTACTTTGGAAAATACTTTGTTTATAGACACGATCAACCTTCACTTTTAGAGGAATATAATTTATGGTAACAATATGTGTGTATACGTACTAACTTATTATGATGACATACTTAGTTCTACTCGGTTTTCACATTCACATTCAATTTATATGTCACTTGCATCATGATATTTACCTTTTATACCGTGTTTGTGAAAAATTTATGCTTTTCTTGTCACTTTCCTTCAAATTAAAGCAATGCTTCGTTGGTCTGGCACTCTGGCTTGCTTTTCCGCAATTACAACTTTGCCAATATGTTTCATGAATTCTTTAGATAGAGCATGCTTTATCTTGGTAGATGTATTCAATATCAATATCCGTGTAATATTGAGTTTAAATTAATTCTGTGATGTAGTGATGCACATTGATGCTTCATAATTGTATTACCTTCTAAAAATTTAGATCTTAAATGTGCTCGGGGTACTCACGCGACAGTAAAACAATGTTCAAGGAAAGCCAATAACTAATTGTGGAATGTAGTGTGATTAATTAGGAATAATAAAACTATAAAAGCATTTATTTTTTTTGGATTTGCCTTTTATACCTTAGCAAAACATCTTAGTAGTATTTTAATAATGATATAGTGGTTATATTTGTTTAGTACTTCTTTCGTCCCAATATGATTTTCAAAAGTACTTTTCTTGGCCTTCAGCCCTTCACGAATCCTTTTTTATTTTCTAATTATGAGTAACATTTTCCCATAATTTTTGGATTTGTTTTTTTTTGCGGTTCAATAGAACTTCCACTCTAGTTTCCAAATATATAAATTTTAAGAAAAATTCACATGAATAATCCTAACTATTAGTGGTATTCCATTATTAATCCCACATATCAGTAATTCTAATATAATCTAATTTATCATGGTCATCTTCTCCGAACAGCCCGATGACCTGCTTAAACCAATTCAAGAGGTCACTTAACTTTTCTCCTGCTCCGTCCGTCTTAACTTCTCCATGAGTGTTCGCTGGCCCTATTTCTTTTCCATCTTTCCTTTTATCCTTTTCTGTTATTTTTCCATGGCTGCTCCAATGCTCCTTCGTGGTATTCCTTACTGGCGGGTTATTACTTTGGACCCAGGAAGGGAAGGAGGGAAATCGGCTGCTACACACCACAGCTCTCTCATCATACTACCGTCGGCCTCTTCTTGTTTCGAATTAAGAGAATAGAACAGCCGGACGAGACTCATAAATGATAGGTGGACTGTGGACGAGAGATAACTGGAGAAGGGGAGTTAGCCGGAGCTCTTCCCACACATAGCCAAGAAGAAAAAAGTCAGATTCATCAGCCATGGATTGTATTGGACTTCAGATGCTTCCCTCATATAATGTTATTTGACTAATATGAGGGAGTTTTGTTAAGGAATAATACAAGTACAAAATGCCAAAAGAAATTCGTAAGGAGTTTTGGGTCTCAACAGAGCCCAACCCTAGGGAGTTTGGATCTCAAATAATATCACAAACTAAACTAATACCCCTTTGTCCCATACTCCCATCCTTATACAACTCTTGATGTTTCTCTATCCATAACACACATCTATATACTGTAAGCGTTCAACTATTTGGTGTTTGTATTCAATTTCTCTCGTTAGATTTTTGTATCCGGGTTTTTGACTAAACCTTCCCCTTTATTCTTCTAGATCTGGTCCAAAAAGCCGGCAACTTTTTTCTCCACCAACGTTTTTTCTCCGAAATATAGTTGTTCTTAAAAGTTACATGCCAATTTTGTACTTCAAAATAGAGACTGGTAATTAAACTAAACACGAATCTTTATTTAAATAGAAATGTGGACATAATGGCGTGACTACGGATTATCAAAAATCGTTAAGTGCCTCAATTTTATTTTAAGTGAGAGCATGCAGTCAGTGGCGGACCTCAATAATTTAATTGGTGGTTGTTTTGAAATGGTCACTTATGGCTTGAGTCGGTTTGTCAGATAAAAAAGATTTAGCTTCTCTTAAGAGAGATGAACAGTTTGGTACACTATCAAACAAATAAAGTGTGGATGACTAAAAAGTTATAAATATGCTTGTATATATACTTTTTCCTTTTACAAATGATTATTATGTTGATACAAGAAGTCTTTTGATGTTTTCTTTTTGTGACTTGTGAGGCAAGGCGTACACCTGGAGGTGGCATGAAAGCTAAGCCTGTAACTTCATACCATTTAATGTCAACATTAGAGATATCTAACACAATTATAATTTCGAAACAAACAAGGCACACATTTGATACTCGTAAGCCACAAAGCAAGTTTTTCAAAATGTAAAGAGAGAGCCTCACAAGGCACAAATGCAAAGTGAAGTGGACTCTTAACCCTTTAGAGCAAAGACAGTTGCGTGAAGCTTGTGAAGAGGAGAGCCGTGTGCTGTCTTAATGAATCTAAGCCCATCTAAAGCTAATCTGAAGAGGATAGCTGATTTGGCACAAAATGATTCTAGGATTTCTTCTAGGCCTTAGTGACTTTAATCAGAATAAATTATTGAAATGAAAAGTCTGTCATGGATTTAAGAGAAGTACTTAAATAAGAGCAAAGTCTTGAGCAAAGTTTATGAGGCTTAAGTCTCAAAACAGTCTTGACTCTTGAGACCTATGGGGCTACCTCACTCTCATTCATCAGATGCATAAGCCTCACAACTTGCAACAGAGGTTTGAGCCTCAAGACTAAATCCATGTGCCTAAAATATGAGGCAAGCCTCATATTTTTTTTTTAGAATCATGCATAGGTAAATTTTTGAATCATTGTTTGTCCGTGTTGGGGTTTGCTATATTTCTCCCTTCAGCAATTTTATTTGAGTATATTTTAATCTCTTATACTATAACTTCAATGTTATTTTAAGTATCTTTTCTTATATTATGAATTTTAATGTTCAAGCCACACTGATGCTGACTTGTTTCTTTTTCATTTTTATGATGAAGGTTCTTTGGGCCGGTTTTGATAAGATAGAATGTCAGGGAGGTACAACCCGCCAAGTTTTGCTTTTAGGCTGTTGGTATGGTTTCCAGGTTTGGGATGTTGAAGAACCTGATGATGTTCACAACTTAGTTTCCAAGCATGATGGTCCTGTTTCCTTCATGCAAATTCTACCAAATCCAATTTCATCAAAGCAACATAGGGATGAATTCGCTAATAGTCGGCCACTGTTGATAATCTGTGCTGATGGATCTTTTCCGAGTGGCAGTATTCACCATAGCCGTGGTGTATCTAATGGCAATTTTGTTCCGACTGTTGTTTGGTTTTATTCCTTGAGATCTCACTCTTATGTACATCATGTGAAGTTCAGATCAGGTGTTCATTCTGTGAGATGCAGCTCCAGAGTTGTTGCTGTCTTACAAGCAGCTCAGGTAAATGACTTACATTTGAACTCATGTGCTTATTGCTTCAGAGTTTGTAAAAACCAAGTCATTTCTATTTCAGATACACTGTTTTAATGCCTCAACTTTAGAGAGGGATTATAATATTGTCACAAACCCTGTTGCTATGGGCTGTTCTGGATCTGGAAACATGGGCGTTGGACCTCTTGCTGTCGGTCCCAGGTGGATGGCTTATACCGGAAATCCAGTTTCTGTGTCAAATTGTGGTCGTGTCAATCCACAACATCTCACACCTTCTGCAAGTTTCCCTAGTCGAGGAGCAAATGAAAGTCTGGTTGCACATTATGCAAAGGAATCAAGCAAGCAACTTGCTGCTGGAATTGTAACTCTAGGGGACATGGGATATAAGAAGCTTTCTAGATATTACTCTGAGTTGCTACCAGATGGTAACAGTTCTCAAGCGGGTGCTCACCCTAACATTCAGGGACTGAATACTAATGGTCATTTACCTGATGCAGAAAGTATTGGGATGGTATTAGTTATCACCTTTAGCTTTGCCGCTTTAACTAATTTTACAAGCATGAAACATCAGTTACTTTCTTTTCCTGTTCTTCTACCCTTGTTCAATTTATTCTCATGTCAATTTGTTGATATGCTTTTTACTTACTGCACTGTTTTTTGTTTATAGAACTTGACATTTTTTCTTAAAAGCCCCCCAAAAAGGATTTGTGAAATTCCTTTATCATCTAGGTAGCCTAAGTACATTTTTGGGTCTTCAGGTACTTGTTAGAGATGTAGTCAGCAAAGAGCTTGTCACACAGTTTAGGGCCCACAAGAGTCCCATTTCATCGTTGTGTTTTGATCCTTCTGGCACTCTTTTGGTCACAGCATCTGTTCATGGTCACAATATCAATGTTTTCCGGATAATGCCTGCACTACTAAAAAGTTCTGGAACCGATCAAGCATCTAATGTTCATCTTTATAGGCTACAACGTGGCATAACAGATGCGGTAAGTCTAGTGAATTATTCTCTTCCCACCCAATAATGCGGATTTGCATTGAAGAACTCAACACGTTTATTTATTCATTGCTATCGCACTCTACAGGTTATACAAGACATTAGTTTTAGTTCAGACAGCCAATGGATCATGATAAGTTCTTCTAGAGGGACAAACCACCTTTTTGCAATATCTCCTTCCGGAGGAACACTTGATTCTCAGTCTTCTGCTGCTTCATATCTGAGTGCCAGAAATAAGGGGGGATCTTGTGTGATGATGAGATCGGGAGCTGGGGTTGTTAATGAGCAGCTAATCTGTGACTCTGGCACACCAGTTACTCTTTCTGTTGTTGGAAGAATAAGGAGCGGGAACAATGGCTGGAAAAACACTGTCAGTGGTGCTGCTGCGGCTGCAACTGGAAGGACAAGCCATCACTCTACTGCCATTGCTTCTGCATTTCATTTCTGCCAAAACAACAATCAGAGTGATGTTGATCCCAACTTGGTTGTTTTCAACTACCGGTTGCTAGTTTTTTCTGCATCAGGTTGTCTTATTCAGTATGCTTTGCGTGCTTCTACTGGCATTGAGCCTGGTTCCGCTTCACCGTCCTTAAGCACTACTGCCGACCTAGGTGTTGAACCTGAAACAAAACTAATTGCAATCCAGAAGTGGAATATATGCCATAAACTAAATTGTAAAGAACGAGAAGACAATATTGATATCTATGGTGATTCTGGAAAACCGGATAGCAGTAAAGTATTTCCTGAAGGACTGAGGCGCGAAAATGGAAATTATCTCCATAGTATTGGCAAGGTCAAAGAAAGGATTAATACCGAGGAAAGGCAACATATGTATATATCAGAAGCAGAGCTTCAAATGCATCAACCTATGGTTCCACTGTGGGCAAGATCAGAGGTAGCTCTATATATTTGCACTTTCAGACTATTTGTTTCACATTTCTACTTTGGTTCTTGCATTCCGTGGTTCCTCATGAATCTTGTTTTGATAGATTTCTTTTCAGTCCATTTTGTTTGATGAAACTTGCATGGAGGATGATGGTGCTTGTGGAGAGATCGAGATAGAAAGGGTCCCCACACGTACAATTGAATCCAGGTCTAAGGATCTAATTCCAGTTTATAATTATCTTCTCTCTTCCAAGGTGCTGCAGCATAGGTATTTACTCTCTTTTTGCAACTCTCAAGACAATTAGAGATGGTATGGAATTAGTCATTTCTGAATACTTCTGTTTTTTGTTGCCTTATGCATTGTAATCATGTGGCTGCCTTGCTCGTCATTGTCTGGATGATCTAGTTCCTGATTTTTTTGGCACATTTCTTCCATTTATTTTGCTAGTGGAGTCCATTATTGTTTTTGAAGTATGATAGTCATTAACTGATTTAGGATATCGGGAAGCAACAATCAAGTGCATGCTCAAAGGTCTGACGAGACTCGGAACACCAAACTTATGAATGGTTATTCTCACTGCCCGACTAATGGATGCATTGAAATGTATAATGGAATAGAAGAAAATGGATGCAATGGTTTCTGGATGAACGCAGGAACAACTAAGGGATTTTTATATAATAATGACACTCAAGAAGAAGACACTCGGCTAGAGTTTGTAAATAATAGTCAGAGCTCCATGGAAGAGACCCAAGCTGCGTGTACAAACAATGACATCGACTGAAAATGAAGAATGAGTTTGAAGCTGCAGTTGAAAAATTTGAGTGAGGTTAATACATTATACTCCGTATTTCTTAATAAAGCATACTCCTTACGTCCCATTGAACTTTACCAACTTTCCTTTTTTGTTTGTCCCAAAAATTTACCACTTCTCCTTTAATGTCGTTAATTAGTGGTTCTGTTCATTTCTCTCCCTCTGCACAACAAACTCAACCACATAACTTTTACCTTTCTTATTTGACATAACTCTAACTTGGCAATGTCGAATGAGTACATTTAAGTATTTATATAGCATTCACCTTAAATAATATTCACATCCCCCTCTACTACCCCATCCACATTTCACTCTCTCACATATAGGTTAATACAACATCTGTCCCAAATCAAGCCACACAATGAATTGTCACAAAATGATTATTAACTTTTTAGGAAATTTCTACTAAACTTCAAAATTTTCCCATATTGACTTTTCCCACTTTAAAATGCTTTTGCATCTTTAGGGAGTAGTATTTATTAAATGCACATATGTGTGCATCTAGTTCTCATGCCCGATATGAATGGTGATGAGGATCCTAGCATATTCCATGTTATTTAAGCATTCACCTGAGATAGTAATAGATTAATAGTTCTATCCCCCCTCTTCCCCCCTCCGTACCTTTCATCTCTCATGGAAATTAGGTTCTTTCTTATTTTGTATGTACCTACCATGCACACTAATCAATATTGATGCAATAAGGTACGGAGTATAATGTAGTAGTTATATCCCGGCACCTGACCTAGTGACCTATGGGTGGCTGTGCTGGGGGTAAAACTATCAAAATGCACTAACAGATGTGCATGGTAGTTAAGTAATCACCCAAAGGGGGGCATTTTGAATATGTCTATTTGATAATTTCGTTTGGGCTCCCACACAGTCAGGCCCCGTGTATATCAATAAAGTGTGCATTTTTTGTTGGGGTAGAAAAGTTGTGGTGTGGTGTGCTGTCATACTGCCATATGAATTCAAAAGTTTGTTACAATCCTTGCATAGTGGTAGACAGTAATATTTTGCCTCGGCTAAAGCTTTTTGATTTGAACATTTCAGGTGATGCAGTTGAACAATGTGTCGTGGCGGGATTTTGTGATCATGCAAAATGCGAAAATGTGAATATGGTTGGGTGGGGTATATGTAGAATATAATAGGTATAGTGGCTAATATTATGGACACAGAATTGTTAATATGGTTCGTCTCTGCGCGGTTCAATGTTGTATATAATAGATGGTGGAATCGCCATGTCAGTAGCTCATCATACCCCGTGTAAATATTATTGTGTCAGTGCCCTGCAACATTTTGTTGTGACTTATTGGAATGGTTAATTTATTTATTGTTGCTTGGAAGTTATACTTACTCGCGATTTTGTCAATTGCATTTTGTATAGACTGTCACTTGTGCACTCCGCATTTTGAAAGAGCAGTGTGAAAGAGGGCTTTTAGATGCTCTAGGCCTCTAGGGGTTTGACGATATGTTTGGGGTGGACTGGGATGGGTCCAGACCGGGCTTCAGGCTGGGCTTCGGGCCGGGAGTGGGTGGGCTTTGGGTCTAAGAATTTCAGGCCTAGTACTGGCCTGGGTTTGTACCGGTATTGGGTTGGGTCGGACTATTTTTTATTTTGAATTCAAACCCATTTTTTGTTGAATTCTTGACAGTTAGGCCAAAAATGGAACTTTGTAAGTGAAGAATAGGTCAAAAATCCGGAACCACAACTGACTCAATACCATAACCAGAACTAAAATTGGTTTACCCGGTCAAGGCTCTAATTTCATCCTTAACAACTGTACCTCGAACCGGCGAGTCCAGAATCTAAATTGACCAGGGTCAACTACTACTTGAAACATTCTTAGGAGATCAGCACAATCTTGATGCTTCATAGTTAAACATTTACTTGGTACTCCGTAGTTATTTACATTGATATCTATCATTCGGGCTGTGCACTCCATAAAGGAAACACCATTGCTAGTTCTTTGGTTATATATGATTGTAGTTTTAAGAAAATATCACAACTCGCCTTGATAGCTTACACAAAAGATGTATGATTTCTTGATAAAAATCCCAATGAATGATGGGTGAGCTTGAAACTTAGAACCTTTTTAAAAAGGAATAATATTATATAACTAAATTGGTTGAAACGAATATCTAAGCAGTGTTATATTGCTGAATAGCGATCCTTGTTTTTTTTTTTTAAATTTCCGTGCTTGAGAGTACCTGATTATTAAATCAATCAAGAATTAATCTTGGCTGCAGTTTTAAAGAGAAGCAAAACTCAAATCTCATGGGGTCATTTATGTAATTGGATAAATAGCACTGAAAATCATCGGATCTATAGAGACATTGACTTTTATAGGAAAAATTTACGGAAATTGACCTATATAGGAGTAAAAACGTTTTAAAATTCCAAAATAGGAGTATCATGTTTTTTATTCCCTAAATAGGAGTAATCTGTCAAGTTTGGGGATAAAATGCCATGTTAAAAGCCTTGTAATGCCAAACTTGGCAGAAATTTACTCCTATTCAGGGAATAAAAAACATGATACTCATATTTTGGAATTTCAAAACGTTTTTACTCCTATTTAGAGAATTCTCTCAAAAATTCATATTTTGCCCTCATAGATGTCATTCCTACACCATAGAAACTCCTATATACACCATTGAAAGGAGTGTCAAGAGCCGGTGACACACCAACATTGCAAAACTAGAATCGAGTCTAGAATCTAAAAAATAAGTTTAAATTGTATGGGATATAAAGTTTGAATGATTCAAAACTATCAATCTCAAATCTAAAATATCATGAATTTTTTATTTTATTTTTAAAAATTGAATATAATATAATCTTGTTAAACTAATAAACTCATCTGAAGAATTTTTTTTCCCAAAAATTAACAATAGATATAGTAAAAACAAATCAATCAAATCTATGATATTTTAGGTTTTGATAGAAATTTTTCAATCATCGCACCCTATATCGACATCATTTATCTTTGCGCTCTCTTATTGAGAGTGAAACTTTTTTTCGGATGATAAAATTGTAAACTTTAAAAGTTGGGCATTTATAGCTTAATTGGAATCAACATTACAGCACTACACTACATCTGCAAAAATAAGTTAGATCGAAAGGGCAATTTGATTGATAGATAGTAATCAAGACAAATAAATTGGAAGGAGCATTTTATTGTCTCTAAACAGAAACTTCAAAAATTTATCCACCGATTTACTTTCTTTCAAATTCAAAAAATAAAATCAAATTATACATGTATTGGCTAGACAAAGAACATTTGGCATTGATTAGTCGTATGCTGCGCAAAAGAAATCCAAATTCAAGAAATGATTAATTTCATGACTCTTCTAATTTCTCCAACATGGGAGAGAGTAATCTATCTAAGAAACGGAAGTTGATACAAACACCCTTTTTACATAACAATTATTCAATTCAAATAAATGAGTATTTGGATGAAAATGCCAACATTCTCTCATCAACCACCATAATAATCACATTAAACCAAAATTTTTACACCCGCGGGTAGCTCAGTTGGTTGAGTGGTGATATAATTAGAAGAGTGACCAAATGTTCAAAACTCACGTCGACTGTGTAGAGGTTACAACTCTTGCGTGTTGGGCTTGATCTCTAGTGCGCACGAGTATAAGATCTACCATCATTGGGCTGATTGAGTTGATTTACATCTTCTCATATGCCTTGTCCGGTCGGAGCGTGGGAGGCCCCTGGGGTTCGGACATTCAACCTTTGGAGGAACATTAAACCAAAACTTTAAGGCAATAATGAAATGGTGACTAATATTGATCACCGGGTCATTCACATGCTCACTATGGAAAACAAAATTGACTACTTGTACATATATAAGAAAAATAAAAAGGAAAAATTGGGGAGGTAGTGTTCTGTCTCGCTGAACCGACCCCGTTTTTACTTAAAGGGAAAGTCGCCCAACGGTTGGGCGACTTATAAGTCGCCAAACCGTTTGGCGACTTATAAGTCGCCCAACCGTTGGGCGACTTAGCCCGACCATGGTTAACCCAGCAGTATTTTGGTAAATACTTTTAACCCAACCATATTTTCGTAATTAATTAATTAATTAACAATAATACGGAAAAAAACTCGAATTTGTTGGGATGTCCCAAAAAGATAAGTGAGAAGAATTTTCAGGGACAGCGGGAGTGTTGTTCTTCAATTCCGATTGCACCATTGATTTACTTGATAATCCACATAAATAATCAACAAAGTTGGATTTATTAGGATACAAATGATAACTTGTACAGTCATCAAAGATGTAAAAAAGCTGGTCTAGGTGTTGTAGCAACTTGCGAGTTATCCATGACAAAGCCCTTTGTTAGAACTTTTGCATGCTTGGTTTAAGAATATTGTTATATTATCTATTTGTTGTCATTGGAAGTAACAAATCCCCTAATCATGCTCAACTTGGAATAACGCCCATGAATTTAGTCATTTTGTTTCTTGCATGTCGATAAAAATGGTACTCATGATGCTTAAGTTGTACATTTTTTTTAGGTAGATTTCATTTTGATATATACAACCCCAAGAGATGTCTAATTAGCCTTTCAATACATGCATTGATTATTTAATTCCATAGAGAATTTTCTTGAGTCTGTAGTCTTGTAGATATAATATGAATTTATATGATATTGTAGTTCTCTTAAGTGAGCAATATAGACTTCCTCATTTCAATCACTCGCAAGCAAAAGTTTTGTTTACATCAATTTGATACTTTTTAAGTTAATAACATGTGATATAGTCGAAGAAGTCTCAAGATAAATGGGGTCACCTGTACCAAGGTTTGGTGAATGTCAACCCCTTTCAAGGTGTTGCATCTTGCACCTTGACGAACTTTATTCCTTGTTATATTTTTCATCTTCTAATCAACTACATGCATTTGGATTGTTCGTAATTTTATTTTTTATTTGTTTCAAATAACTTAAAAAAATTGTCCTAAATGAAATTTTAAATTCCAAAATACGAGAACTTAGTTTTTATTCCATACATAAGAGTAATTACTGGATGTTTGGAAAACAGTGACAATATAGCAGTATATTAACATATTTAAAGAATGATGGTTTTAAAATATGACAGTAAATTTTCAAAATGACAATAATGTAGTACTCCTACTTAAGAAAGTATATACTCACATTTTAGAAATTTTCATTAATTCTATTCATATTTCAAGAATTTTCTCAATAACTTTTCTCATAAAACATTCAAAATTCATATTACTTTTCTACCCGTCTAATACATCACAACTATTCCTCAAAAGCATTTTGAGGGACAAACTTCACATTTTTAAGAACAATTGTATGATAGATTTATACTTTATCTATTTTTGTGATTATTTTTTAACCATGCAATTTTTCGTAGTATTTTTAAACCAACAGTGAGTAATCAATACTCCCTCCATATTTTGATGCTTGATACATTTTTTTTTTTATGTTTGATGTATAAAAAAGTTTGTCATACATTTCCTTTTTAGTAAGTGTTTCCTTGAATATACTCAATTACTATTTTTTTTTACATTTTACCTTCTCTTTCATACTTTTATATTCTGTCATACTTTTTCTATACTATTTATTAATCATGCTACTTCCTCCTTAAATAATGTGTCAAAACTAATGTAGCAATCTTTAAAATACAGATGAAGTAATGTTTTTTCTATAAAATTTTATTTTTCATAATACTATACGTAGTATAATATTTTTTATCAACCCCGTAGAGTCAAATCATAAAACTTTGAGGGCTGACTAATGAGGGAGTATTATGTGGTGCTTGGATCTGATACTTAAAAATGTTTCTGTTCCTTCAAAGAGCATAACGTATACTACCTTCGTCCCTCAATTAAAGTCTCAATTTGACTTTCAAATCAAATTTGTGATACTTTTACTGTTGATTATTCATAAATAACAATATTTGATCATACAAAATAAATTTAACGTGTTTCATTGTAACATGTATTATTCAAATATCAAGTTATTATAAATTATACATGTATATGTATTTATAAATAAGCATGATTAAACGTCTGCTAAGAGATTACACAGTCAAACTGAGACTTTAATTATTAAAATAGATATGATTGTTTGGGCAGAAACGTACAAGTACTTCTAAGTGAAAATTTGATTGATCACATTCCTACTCTTTTGATGGAAAATCAAATCCAAAGTCCAAATATGATAATCTCAATTGGCCATTCAGTTTGTTTGAGATGAATCTCATGATTATTATTATTATTATTATTATTATTATTATTATTATTATTATTATTATTATTATTATTATTATTATTATTATTATTATTATTATTATTATTATTATTATTATTATTATTA